TTACAATTTTGCACTTGTCTGTATATATGTTATGTTCTGCTTCCATTAATTTTTTTTTAATTCAATAAAGCTTTGGAGAACAGTCTGGCAGTTCCTCAAAAGATATATAGACCTAGCAATCCCACTCCTAGGTATATCCACAGCAAAAGAATTGAAAAAAATTCTATCCATACAAAAATTTATACAGGAATGTTCATAGTAGCTTATTCAGAATAGTCAAAAAGTGAAAACAACCCAAATGTCCATCCAGGGATAAATGGATAAATCAGGTGTGACCTACCCATACAATGGAATATTATTCAGCCTTAAAAAGGAGTGAAGCACTGACACATGCTACAACATGGATGAACCTTGAAAGTATCATACTGAGTGAAAGAAGCCAGACACAAAGGACAACATATTGTATGATTCCATTTATATGAAATGTCCAAATAGGCAAATCCATAGAGACAGTAGAATAGATTACTGGGTGCCTAGGGCTGGGGAGGATGAAGGTTTGGGGAAATAGTGTATTAGATGTACAAGTTATCTTGGACCAATGAAAATGTCCTAAACTTGACTGTAGTGATGGTTAGACATCTAGTTCATATACTAAAAGCTATTGAATTGTGTACTTTAAATGAATAAATTGTATAGTATGGGAATTACACCTCAATAAAGCTGGTCTAACCATTCAGTGGGGCATCAGCATTAGAAAGGATACCAGACCATCAGAATGAACACTAGCCAGGTGCACCTGCAGGGCTACACTGGTGCCTACCAGGTGGCCCCAGTCATTGGGCAAACAGGGGTGGTCTGTTGGTTTCTCAGGCCCAGGAAGACTGAGATCACAAACTGGGGCTGAATATCTTGAATGCAGGAAGTGGAAACAAAATGGGGCCCAGCCAGTACACTCCTCAGAAAGGGATCCCGAGAAAAGGATGTGGATGGAAATCGTTCATTTGGGAAGGGATCCCAGGAAGGAAGGGAAGTCCCACCTCATGGCGAGGGAGCTGGGGCATTGATCCTCCATTGCAGGGCTGCTCCTGGGGCAGGAGGAATTCAGGAATGGCCTGGTTGTTCCCAGCTGACATGATTATCAATCTCTTACATGCCTTTATTCATGCAACCTCTGTTGACTGAGCACCTACTATGTGCCAGGCCCTAGTAGGGAACACTGAGGAGGCAGCAAACCAAGCCTGACCCCAAAAGCCTCTCACAATGAGTCTGCAGTGCCCACAAACCACATGGGAGCATCCTTCTGTTAGAATCTAACAGAAAATTCTTCTGTTAGAATCGTGCCTGCCTCGGGGGGTGGGGGGCTGGCTATCCATCATCAGCACCAGCAGCCTGAGTCCCAGGCCCCCGTCCCACCCCCACCCCCACTGTCCAGCTGCGGCCCTGTCTTTTCTGACGTCCACGTGGTTAGAGCAGGCACCCATGGGTGCCTGCTCTAGATAGTAGGGATTCCTTCTTCTAAAAGCGGCTAGGATGGGATGTGGCTGGCTGGGTGGAATATCGTTCACAAGGCTTGAGGAACGCTTATACCAACTCATCCTGATTGGCTGCGTTGGTCGTGGTTTTAGCACTGCAAGTCCTACACCCCTGGAATTCCCTCAGTCCAGGCAAACTGGGTTGGTGGGTCCCTCTCGAACTCTGGCCCTAGCTTGTTCCCCACTCCCCATCTAAACCAATGCTTCCCAGCCCTGGCTCCCCTTTGGCATCACCTGGAGGATTTTTTAAAAAATGCTGCTGCCTGGGTCCCACCTTGGACCAGTTCATTCAGAATCTCAGGAATGGGGCTGGGCCTGGGGCTTGTGAAAAAATCTCTAGGGGATTCTAAAGTGCCACCAGGTTGAGAGCTCCAGAACTACAGAGAATGAGGCCAAGGTTAGTTGGGGATGGATATTTGTCTTCTAGATCAGGTGGGAGCTGAGGAGTGGACAAGGACCGCTAGACAGGGGTCCATTGGCTCATTCATTCATTAATCAGTTCTGTACAGAGGACCTATCATGGGTCAGGTGCAGTCCTGGAGCTGAGATACAGGGTGGGGCAAAGAGGACAGTTAGGACCTGCTTTCATTCTAGAGAGGGACACAGACAGCAAACAGGTCACCTGCATACTTTCTGATGAAGATGTTCAACTGAGTGATGTGTTGAGTGAACTGGGGTCTGTTGAGTGAACTGGGGTGCAGAGCTACTTAGATATTGCCTTATTTTCCTGGAGCTGCCATAACAGATTACCACCAACTGGGTGGCTTAAAACAACAGGAATGTATTCTCTCAGTTCTGGAGGCCAGGAGTCTGAGATCAAGGTGTTTGCAGAATTGGTTCCCTCTGGAGGGTCTAGGGGAGAATCTGTCCCACGCCTCTCTCCTGAATTCTGGGGGCCGCCGGCACTCCTTGGCTTGTAGGGGCATCATTCCATTCTCTGCCTCTGACTGCACATGGCATTTTCCTCTGTGTCTGTGTCATCACATAGCCTTCTTCCCTCTCTCTGTGTGTCCTCTCCTCATCTTATAAGGACACCAGTTCCTGGATCTAGGGCCCACCTGGGTAATCCAGGATGACCTTATTTCTAGATCCTTAATTACATCTGCAAATATGCCTTTCCAAATAAGGTCACATTCTCAGGTTCTAAGGGTTCGGATGTGGACATATCTTTTCTGGGGCTACAAGTCAACCTCCTACAGGTACGGTGGGCAGGGAAGGCCTCTGAGGATGTGTCTTGGTGTGAATCATTCCAGAAGCCGACCCCAAGGCCAGGTTGTAGGGGGTGGCAGGAAGCACTGCTGGGAAGCAGAGAAGAGAGACCTTGAGCATCAGGTACCTGGGGCTCTGTTCTGCTGGGGACCTCCAGGATGCCGCTCAGAACCGGAGCCTCAGAGCTACCCACCCACCCAAAGGGCAAGGGCACTGGGGCATTTAGACACCAACTCTTGAAAGTCACTGGCACGGGGAGCCCTGGAGTGTTTACCACCCCACCACTGGGCCTGGCGACCTCTGGATGACAGAGAAAGCCTCCAGCAAAGAATGGAATGTGCTTTCAAGCATGGGAACCAAGAGATGCCGGTGAGTCACCAACTGTGGCTGTTCCAGGAAGTGACATTTGAGGAACCACCTGAAGGATGTAAAAGAGTTAGTCTGTGATGAGCATGTCAGGACATGTGGTGGGCATGCTAGTCACAGGAGAAGCAAGAGAAAACCCCCTGAGGCAGGGGCAAACTCCCTGCACTCTGAGAGCAGCAAGGATGGCGGTGTGGCTGCCGTAGGCCTGGGAGGGGAGGTGGCAGGAGCTGGGTGGGGATGTCCTGGGTGCAGCACGCAGAGCCCAGAGCTGAGATCTGATTTATGCAGACAATGGGAAGCCTTCGGAGAGTCTGAAGCAGGAGTCCAACAAGATCCAGTTACTGTCTGACAACAGTCTCACCTTGAGTGAAGTCCAGAGAGTGGGCTGCAGGAAGGGGGGCAAGAAGAGTAAAGCGGAGGAGCTGAGTTATGCAGGGCCCGGCTCTGTCTCACCCAGCAGCGTGGCCCCAGGCCAACACCTTCCCTTTCCTGGGCGTGAGCTTCCCATCAGAAAAGTGAGGGCGACAAGCTGGGTCTCGTCTGCTCCAGAGGGATGTTTGGTGACTCCACTGAGGTCCCGGGAGCAGAAGTACCCTGAGCACAGCTGGATGAGGGCCTCCTGCCTGTGTTGGAAGCAGAAGGAGGGGTCTTGACACATCCCCTCAGGCAGGAGTGGTCATGACTGGACCAATCAAGTTCAGGGTGGGTCCTTTCTCAAGGTCTCTGCTGGGTGGCTGAGATTTTCCAAAAGCGAACTGAGTTAACATTATGAATTAAGAATGCTGTGTCCTGGAGGCACAGAGACCAAGTGAGTCTGAGAAATGAAGACTTAGTCTTCGAGGTAACCTGGCCACGTCCAATCAACCCTGGGGTTGGCTGGTCACCTCGTTCAGGGCTCTGGAAGGCAGGAGCTAAGGCTAATTATTCTCTGGAACTGGCAACATGGCGCTTACTTAATGTTCACACCTGAATGTGGAGAGTGTTGAACTGAATTCTGAGAAAGCTGTGGAACTGTAGACGCTTGGGTTTCCCCGGATGGAGTCCAAGTGTTGTTGGTCGTGTTTTAGTTAATGTCCCAAATCTCAATATGCCTGACCCCTCCTGCCTAGCAGGAGGTCCAGTCTTCCCCAAAATATCCAAGAACCCCAAGGGTGGCTACAGGTATCTGGTAATGCTGGATGCCCATTTATCAAGGGTTAACCATGCGCCAGGCACAGTGCTAAGCACTTTACGTGAGGAAGGACTGTCGTTCCCATTTTACAGTCAAGAAGATGGGACCCCAGAGACATTAACTCACCTTGGAGAAGATGCTATAGATATCCAATGAAAGCTGTCTTCTCCATCCTCTATAAAAGTAGGATTGTAGTCAAGCACACAACTGGACCACATTTCCCAGCCTCCCTTGCATTTAGGTGTGGTCATGTGACCAATTCACTCCGGTGGCATCTCTGCCTCTTCTGCGTCCTTTAAGAGAGCGAATCTACCTCCCTCCCCCATGTCCTCTTTTCCCCTTCCACTTTCTGGGTATGGAAGACAACAAGGTCCTAGGGCATAGCAGCCATGGGATAGAAAGAGCCTGGATTCTTCCAAGTGGAGAACTGCCCTGCCAGCCTGAGCAACCACTCAGGGCCATTAAGTAAGCAGGAGACCAATTTCTATTATGCTAAGGCTCAGAAAAGGTAAGGTCTATTTGTTAGAGCAACCTAGCCCGGGCGAAGTTGTGGCAGAGCTGGGACTGGAACCAGATTGTCAGACTCCAGGGGTGTCAGCTCTGACTTGCAGTGGTGTATGGCCATGAGGTTTGTTCCACAAGCACTGATGCCACTGGCACGTCCAGCTTCAGTTCATTCTCCCACATCTGCTGGCCTCGACCGCCCTCAGCTGCTAGTGGGTTTAGAGTCAGGGGTACAGCAGGTGTGGTCCAGGCCAGTTCACCGCTGCCACCATGAATCCATGGAGCTGGACAGTGCACAGATGTCCCTGCTGGTTCTGCTGGCCAAGCTGACACTTCGAGCTCAAACCTTGATGTTCTCGCAGGTCAAGGCTGCCATACACCACCAGGGTACCAGATCCCCCCTGGGCACGATGTCTGTGTGCATCTCCCAGACAGCACTGCTGCCTCCTTCTTTGCGTTATGCTCCCAGCAGGTGATCCAAAGCAAACTGCCTGGACCCCCCAGGCACACTGCACACAAGCACTTAAGTGCCCAGGTGGCTGGAGTGGGGACAAATCTTGTCACCTTTTCACGTGCACCTGGAGCACCACTCCTCTCTGACTCCTGCCTGCAGTGAACTTGACGTAAACCACTTTTTAGTATAAGTACATCCCATGCACTATTTGGGGCATAGTTATACTAAAACATTATCAGTTGTTCATCTCAACTTCAGGTTTACCTGGTGTCTTCTATTGCATCTGGCAAACCTATGATTCCAGGCCAGGGTGCATCCAGGCCCACAAACCTGCCCAGCTGCCCCTGTGCCTCTCACCTTCCTGCTTCCCCGCAGAAGCGGCGCTCACTTCACAGGACTCCTCCCACCCGAACTGGGCCCTGTCCTTCTCCACGCTGGCAGCCCCGGCAGGTGCCCAGGAAGGCAGAACAGATGGCCAAGGGGGAAAAGTGGGTCCCTCCTGTGGGCTGCCCGTGCAGCACCCATCCACCTTCCCAAGGGCAGGTGGCGCACAGGGTGAGCCCTCGATTTCTGTCCAGACGGACCTCAGCTGTGCCTGGGCCTCTATTTCCCCATCTGTGAGATGGGCAGAGAATCGCTGCCCTGCGCACTCCTGGGTCCTTCGCTTACCTGCTCATGCATCTCCTCTGTGTTCAAATCTAGACGCAGGGCCCCACCCTCACGGAGCCAAGATTCCAGTTCAGAGAGAATACGAATAACCAAACACAGCAAGCAAAAGGAAAGAGTTGGGAGGGACATGCAAGGTCTCTCAAGAACTCAAAACAGAGAGAGCAAAGGCGTAGAGATAGTGGTTGGGTGGGACAGTAGGCAGGAGATCAGGAAGGGTGGCTTGGAGCCTGTATGTTATCAGCCCTGTGAAAAATCAGCGTGTGTGCTGGGAAGCATTGATGCAGAAGAAACAGCACGTGCGAAGGCCCCGAGGAAGGAAAGACCCGTGTGGGTGTTCTGATGACAGGGGGCGTCTGGCCAGCGTACAGTAGCAGAGTGAGTCTCTGAGCCAGCTGGCAGAGGGTAGCTGGTTCGGCCCTGCAAAGCCTTATGAGCCAGGGTGGGAGTTTGGGGTCCACCTGATGAGAGGGGGAAGGTGGAAGCCTCTCAGCTGAGGATGGAGACCCAGGTTTCCTGCTCCCGCCTCTGCACGGGGCAGGATACAGCTCTGGCGGCAGAGGTGGGAGGGGTGGAGTGCCCTGTGAATCTGTGCTAAGTGGAAAGATAAGAGGACCCAGGAAAATTTCTGTTCGTTGGGGAAGTCCTGGTCTCTCTGACAATATTCTTGTAGCAGTTTGCAGGTAAGGCCTAGCCCTTGCTATTTACCTGGCACCCGGGCTCTGTCCCAGCCCCTACCTTGCAGCAATATTTCTTTGTCAAGTCAGCTGCCATAGGGGTGGGCTGAGGTGGAGTGCCCTATTTAACAGGCTGAGAATGTGGGGTTCCCTACCCCAGGGAGGCAATAGAACACAGACTGTGGGAAGATGCAGAAGACCAGCAGTCTGGGTCCCTCACAGACACATTGCAAGAGAAGAGCTAGGGAGAGGAACCTTCTGGTTTTGAGAGATTTATCTGTGCGTTAATCACTTGCAGGGTGTGGCCCTGGTTGGTATGTGACTGGAACAAACCATGGGAAATAAAAATATTTATGAAACACTTGGGAAATGAACCCTGACGGGATTTTGGATAAGATCTCTAACACTAGGGGTTATTATTCATCGTGTTAGTCATGATGATGAGATAGCAACTTTTAAAAATGGGCATATAATTCAAATACCATAAAATTCACCCTTTTAAAGTGTAACATGTGGTGACTTTTAGGATATTCCCAAAGCTGTGCGATCGTCACCACTATCTAATTCCAGAACACTTTCATCACCCGCAAAAGAAATTTAGTACTAATTAGCAGTCATCCCCTAACCCCTGGCAACCATTAATCTACTTTCTGTCTCTAGGGATTTGCCAATTCTGGACATTTCGTATAAATGGAATCAGGCAATATGTGCATACAGCTTCCTTCACTGAGCATGTTTGCAAGGTTCATCCAGGTGTAGCAGGTATGGGCACTTCATTCCTTTTTATTGTGGAGATTATTCATTGTTTGGATAGGGTACATTTTGTTTATTTCCTCATCAGCTGACAGGCATTTGGGCTGTTTCTATCTTTGGGCTACTATGAATTATGTTGCTATGAACATTCCTGTACAAGGTTTTTTGAGAACATGTTTTCAGTTCTCTTGGGGACGTACCTAGGAGTGGAATTGCTGTGGCTTTGTTGTTTTCAAGAGTCCATTCTTAGAGCTATGTACCAAAATATTACAGTGAAATGATAAGATGCTGGGGTTTGCTTCAAAATCATACAGAAGGAAAGAGGGAATGGATCAATGCGAAAAGATGGGCTGTATGAGTTGGGAATTTTGAATCAGGACAAGTGCATGAGGGTTTATTATGCTATTTACTTTATATTTGTTTCAATTTGGGCATAAAAATTCTTTTTAATATCAAGGCTCAGTTCAGAGTGGCTTTCCTGTCCTCCTTCTGAATTCCCAGCCCATCACTCTCTAGAATAGAAATGTAACGCGAGCCACACGCATCATAGTAAATGTGCTGGTAGCCACATTTAAAAAAGTAAAAACAGGGCAAGTTGATTTTAATTGTACTTTAACCCAATAGAGCCAAAACAGGATCATTGAAACATGTGAGCAACTTTAAAATTATATTTTACATCCTTTTTTCCTGCTAAGTCTTCAAACCTCACTGTGTATTTTATGCCAACAGAACACCGCCGTTGGTCTCGCCCCCTTTCAAAGGCTCCATAGTGACTCCTGGCTCCCAGATTGGACAGGGCAGCTTCGTTTGGGGGCACTTAGTGCACTTTTCAAAAAGCTCTTGTGACTTTTTTTTTAACTTGGTTGTTTTTATCCATCTACAACTGGGATATCGGCCTAAAGAGGCCAAGCACCTTATATGTCTCACCAAGTGCTGTGTCCCTGTGTCTAGACTAGCATATCAAGCACAAAGCAGGTGAGGACTGAGTGAGTGAAGGACCCGGGAGTGTTCAGGGCCGTGAATCTCTACCCATTTCACAGATGGGGAATCAGAGGCCCAGGCACAGCTGAGGTCCATCTGGGTAGAAATCCAGGACTCACCACGTGCACTGCCTCCCCCCTGGCAAGGTGGATGGGGATCCCGAGGGCAGCCCCTACACACCCTCCCCCTACTTACTACTTCATCTGTGCTAGCTGCCCTTGTCCTGCAGGATAAAGAGCAGAAAGTCTGGGCACAGAAAGCCAGCGTGGTCCAGCCAGGCTGACTCCTCCCGCCCCCCCAGCCATGCTCCGGGCTCCCGTGTTCAGCCATGTTAGTCCAATCCAAGTCTCTGCCTTCTGGTTCAGGGCTCCTGGGGTCCTGTCTGGGGGAGAGGGCCATGCATGGTCCTCTATTCCAGCTGCCTTTAGTGCCGGGTACACACAGATGGGAAATGGCCAACAGAACTGAATGTGCAGCTCCTGTTCCCCCATGAAGGTGGATGTCCCTCAGCAGAAGGAATGACTGTGGCCTGAGGCTCAGGTCCTGTGTGCTGCCCAGCCCACAGGGGTTCCTTGGACCTCGAGCCCCTCTGCTGATGACCACAGCCAGTGTCACCAGGGCCACTATTTCTGAGCCCCTAGTCTGAGGCAAGCTTTTCACATGTGTTTTCTCTAATCCTTGCATCATTCTTGCCAGGTGAGGGGAGGTGCAGTCCCATTTTACAGGTGTGGAGACGAGATCAGAGAGGTGAAGCCCCCTGCCCAAGGCCATCCAGCCAGGGAATGGTGGAGCCACATTCGCAGCTGGGGCTGCCTGACTCCAGATTTGACCTCCGAGGGCCGTCTAGAGGCCAGTGGCTGCCTGAACGTGGAGACCCTGCCCTTGGGTTGTTCTGGCTTCAGGGCTGGAAGCCACACTGCAGGGATCAGAGATGGGGCTGCTTCTTAAAGCTCTGTTCCCCAAGCCCCTCCTGGGTCAAGACGAGCAGACGTGACTCGAGGCAGGTTTCCGTGGCCATGTTCAGTGGCACCAGTGTGAGGGGAGAAGGTCAGTGTTTCCTGGAAGTCTCTGAACCCAAGGATTCCCCAGGGCCCTTATTAAAAGCAGATGCCCAGGCCTGGCCCTGGAGCTTCAGAAGGCCCAGAGTGGGGCCCTGGAATATGCGTTTAACCAGCAGCCCCAGGTGAAACCACTGCAGCTGGTTTCGAAGCCAATGATGAATTCCCTGCAGAATCCTCGGGTGCTCTGCCCACTCGCACATTCCACAGGCTGAGCCCACAGAGGCTCAGCCAGGTGTATGGGGGAGGGAGGGCGCTTTCCCCTGGAGGCCCCGCTTTAGGCCCCAACATCTGCACCCTCAGCCTATGCCCCCCTGAGTACAGCTCAGGAGCATGTGACCTCCGCATGGTGGGAGCTGAGGCTCTTCTGAAGGTACCCCCAACCCCATGACTGAGAATGACAGTTTGTCCCCAAATGGGGCTTCCAAGGGGGCTTTCCTACCTCCTCTCCCCCTTGGGGACTCTCTAAGCCCCAACTTGCCAGATACCAACAGTTGGTGATTCTCAGAGAGGAAAAGCCCCTAAATGTTCTGTAACGGCTTCTCATCTCCACCTGCCCTCTGCTGTGGCCCTTTTTCACCCCGCCCCTATTACCCCTCGCAGGCAGCTGGGGCCCAGAGGGGGAGGGGAGCTTAGGGCACCCTAGTCTCTCAGTGTGACACTCTTTTGTGCCTGGAGCCAACTTTGAGCTGGAAGAGCCAATAGGCTTTTCTAGAAAGCCAGGCTTTGGTGGTTTAGATCCTTACAGTTCAAAGGGTGGTCCAGAGGCCTGCACCATCAGCATCACCTGAGCACTTGTTAGAGCTGCAGCCTCCCAGGTTTCTCCCAGATCCCCTGACTCCTGAAGATGGCATTCCCAGGAGAAAACACTTTCCCTCCACAAAACCTGGCAGACCCTTCATGGGTTCAGGTTAGGGCATTGAGTGGGGTGCCTGACCAGGGCTCAGAGCTTAGGTACATTCTTGCAGCTCTGCTCCCTACCCTTCCTCCAGGGCATACCCCAGGCGGCCACCCCTGTGGGGACCAGCAGTGGGTTAATTGTTTCAGGAGCTTGTGGACCACTAGTCCTTTTCTGGGTCACCAGGGATGGGGGAACAGGTACTTATTGTCCGTGGCAGGAGGGCAAAGGGCAGGAGTAGGGGCCTTGGCATCTAGACTCTAGGCCCTCTGTCCCTGGGTAAGTGGCCAGGAGGACAAGAGGGCAGAAAGGAGAGGAGTGAACTTGTTCTGGGCCAGGAAAAAGTTTCAGGTGGCAAGCCTTCTTTCCTGGGAAGGCCTTTACATCCAGAAACACTACTATTACTGCTAATAAAAATTATTTTGGGGGCTTCCCTGGTGGCGCAGTGGTTGAGAGTCCACCTGCCGATGCAGGGGACATGGGTTCGTGCCCCGGTCCGGGAAGATCCTACATGCCGCGGAGCGGCTGGGCCCATGAGCCATGGCCACTGAGCCCGCGCGTCTGGAGCCTGTGCTCCGCAGCGGGAGAGGCCACAACTGTGAGAGGCCCGCGTGCCGCAAAAAAAAAAAAAAGAAAATTATTTTGTGCACAATATGTGTCTGGCACCACGATGCATGCAGATGTCAACTGTGGGCAGCAGTGGTACCCAAGCTGAGGCTGCAGCAGATTCGCCTGTTAAAAGGCAGAATCCCGGGCTCCACTCCAGGCCTTATGAATCTGAAGGGTTGGGCCTGGGAAACTGCTTTTAATAATGGCCCTAGGGAATTCTTGGGATCCGAGAGTTTTGGGAAACACTGACTTTCTCCAAACCCTGAAAGAGGCTTCCCAACACTGACATTCATTCATTCACCCTCTCACTCGCTCATTCGACACCTCTGGACCATCCACTTCATTCACTGACCCACCCGCTCTATTCCTCCCTGGATCACTGGTCTCGGTTCCCAAGTCCTCCTCTGAGCCCGTGTCGTCCCCTCCCTGCCTCCGCTCTGTCTTCGCCCTCCATCCTTCCACTGGGCGCCAGCTCTTTCTTTCCTAGGCGCTGTCCCCAGCGAGCCCGGGGCCGAGGGACCCTCCCAAGCCCCGCCCCCGCCCGGGCAGCAGAGCCCACCTCCCCAGCCCGCGACTGCGCTCTGGGCCCCGCGCGCCCCGCCCCCACCGGAGACCAGAGCGGAGGCCGCACCGAGGGCCTCAGGTTCCGACCCCACCGCGCCTCTAGCCGCAGCTGCCCGCCGGGCATCCCAGCCCTTCCGCAGCGAGAGGTGGAGCCGGAGGCTGGGTTGTGGGCTCCAGGTGGGCTCTGGGAGGGATGAAGCAGGTAGGGCCGCGGGGATGTGGGGATGGGAGGGTGGTGGCGAGGACGCCAGGAGCCTGCGGGAGCGCTGGGAGAAGCGGGGAGGAGGAGGAGGGATGCGGGAGCCGGGGCTTGGGCCTGCCTGGACCCCAAATGGGCCGAAGGTGGAGAAGAGGAGGGGTCCCGCCAGCAGAGAGGGTTGGGGCCAAAGGGCCTGTGAACCGCGTAAGGGTCTTTCACCCGCCTTTGGTGTCCCCCAGGCCCTGGTGGACGATACTGAGGATGTGTCCCTGGATTTTGGCAACGAAGAGGAACTGGCGTTTCGGAAAGCCAAGATCAGGTATGCTGGGACTGGGCACTGGGCAAGCATCCCCAGAGCTGCAAATGCATTCATTCACATTCATTCATTCAGAATGTATTGAGCACCTGGTGTGTGCCAGGCATGGGGCAATGGACACACCCTGGACAGATCAGACAAGGTCCTGCCCTCCTGGAGCCTGCAGTCTTGGGGGGAGGGGACTAACTAACATTGAACGGGCAAACAAAGATATTAACAAGATAATTAATGTGAGAAGAGTTGGGAAGAAAATCAACCGGATGATGAAAGAGAAAGTAATTGGGGGAGGCCAGTTGCCTTAGTGCAGCCAGGGAGGGCCTCTCTGAGGAGGTGATGTTTTGGCTGGGACCTGAATGATGAGAGGCAGCCAGCCATGCATGGGAGACTCTGCAGGAAGCCTTCCATGCAGAAGGAACAGCAGGTTCAAGGGCCCCAGGCTGTGTTTGGAAGGTCAGAGAAAAGCCACTGTGTCTGAAGGGTAGTGGGGGAGAAGACAGGGGTTGGCAGGAGGCTGGAGAGGTGGACAAGGGCTTGAATTTTTATTCTTATCCCTGCTTCAGCTCCAGCCAGCCGGACATAATGTTGGCTTAAAACAACAGAGATTTATTCTCTCACAGTTCTGGAGGCTAGAAGTCCAAAATCAGTTTCACTAGGCTGAGACCAAAGTGTCTGCAGGACAACACTCCTTCTGGAGGTTCTTGGGGAAAATCTATTCTTTGCTTTTTCCAGCTTCTGGTGGCCCCTTCCTCTGCCCCTCAAGGCCAGCAGTGTAGCATCTTCCAGTCTTTCTCTGTTCCATTTCATATCGCCTTTTCCTCTGTGTGAAATCTCCCTCTGCCTTCCTCTTACAGGGTTACTTGTGATTGCATTTACAGCCCACCTGGATAATCCAGGGTAATCTCCCCATTTGAAGAGCCTTAATTTAATCACACCTGCAAAGCCCTTTTTCAGTATGTGGTAACATTCACAGCTTCCAGGGATTAGGACCCTGGATTGAGGGGCCATTATTGAGCTTATCATAATGGCCAATGATTGTTTTTAAGAAAAGACACAATAAGAGAACTGGAATGCTGGGGAATCTTCTAGAACATCTAACTGCATTATATGTTCAGTCTTTATTGAGCTCCTTCTGTATGCCCACCTGGGCTGGTGGCTGGGGATATACAGTATACAGGACACACCCCCTGCCTCTGTGGAGTCGCCTGGTCTAGAGCAGGGATGGTCACCCTCGACACTGCTGACATTTGGGGCCAGATACCTCTTTGCTGTAGGGGCTGTCCTGTGCATTGTAGGATATTTAGCAGTAAAGCCATGGCCTTTACTGACCAGATGCCCAGTATCCCACCAGCAGAGTCTGCAGACACTGCCAAACATTCCCTGGGAGGCAGACTCGCCCCGGGTTGCAAACTGTCGGTGTGGGGATGTGGGGTGTAAGCATGCCCATGGCTGTTATGATTCAGTGGGTTTTTTTTGTTTTTTTTTTGCGGTACGCGGGCCTCTCACTGTTGTGGCCTCTCCCGTTGCGGAGCACAGGCTCCGGACGCGCAGGCTCAGCGGCCATGGCTCACGGGCCCAGCCGCTCTGCGGCATGTGGGATCTTCCCGGACCGGGGCACGAACCCGTGTCCCCTGCATCGGCAGGCGGACTCTCAACCACTGCGCCACCAGGGAAGCCCTGATTCAGTGTTTTAAATGCTGTGATTGGCAAAAGCTTGGGCACTTATGCTGGTCAGGGGAGGAAGTGACAGCTAAGCTGAGACCTGAAGGATGGGTAGGAGTTAACTAAGCGGGGGAGGAGCGAGGGGGGGACACATGCAAAGGCTTAGAGGTGAGGTCATGAGTTTAGGGAGCTGAGAATGCTTTAGTGGAGAGTAGTCTGAGCAGAGGCTGGGGCCACACCGGAAGGGCTTACAAGGGAAGTTCTGGAGTTGCACTGTCCATTACAACATATGGGAATGTACTACGTCTGTGCGCTCTGGTGTGGTAGCCACCAGCCGCTGTGGCTGGTGAACACGTGATGTGTGGCTAGTGTGACTGAGGGACAGACATTGGATATTTAATTTTAATAGACACATGTGGCTACTACACTGGACAGTGCAATTCTAGAGTTGGAATCTTCACAATGCAGTGACATGATCAGAATTACACAATAGACAGTGGATTGTAAGAGCAGAAGGAATCGCAAAGCAGAAGCTGGGAGCTTGGGCCAGGGCGCGGGCAGGGGTGATGGAGGGAAGTGGAGGGGCCCAGAGGCACAGAAGAGGCAGAATCAGCCAGCCTCGGTGATGATCAAGATGTGGGCTGCGGATGGGAATAGTCAAGGGTGATGCCCAGGCCTCTGGCCTAGTGACCCAGGTGAAGGAGCACTTATGGGGGAAAGACATTGAGCCCAGAGTCATCTTCATTGGGTTGTGGTAGAATGTTCTAATGGCCAGGTGTGATGGGCAGCAGGGAAGAGAGGCTGGGAGCTCTGGGGGCGTCATCTGGGCTGAATGCAGAGATCGGGGAGGCAGCAGCTCATGGCTGTGTGTGTGTTTGAGAGCTGCCCATCCCAGAATCCTCTGTGTCTAATGCAGATTTCTGGTCCAGGCCTGGACCTGCGTAACCAGATTCACAGGGGATGGGCATCTCTAGTTGATTCTGATGCTCAAGAAGAATATAGGGATGGCTCTAAATCCTGAGCATAAATGAAGTCACCCAGATAGCAGGATGGAAAGGACGTTCTTAACTGGGGTCTATATATGGGCTTAACAGGGTTCAGGAACCCTGTGTAAACTATTATCTAAGTTTCACATGTGTGCTGCTTTAGGAAAAGGACTCAAACTTTAATTACATTGTCAAATGGGTCCATAATCCAAACAAGAATCACTAGTATCAGGTGAGAATTGTTATTTGTCAATTCCATGTTGAAATGGATTCCAGGTTGACTTTGAAGGGAGGTGAAGTGATGGAAGGGGCCCTATAACAGGAGTCTGGGATTTCAGGGCCACTTCTTCCTTTACCACTTGCTGGCTTTGTGATTTTGGACAGTGTTCACCTTGCCTTGTTGAGCCTCGACCCACCTGTATAATGGGGGTACTTGTACCATCCTGACCTCCCCACGTGGTGACTATACAATTTGTTCAGTACATATTTACCCAGCATCTGTGTACAGGTGCTAGCTAAGCCCTGGGGATAGAGACCTGGTCCCTTCCCTTCCTGTCCCTGGTTCCAGGTCAGTGAAGTGCAGTGTGGTGGGGAGAGCACCTTGCAGAATCAGTGAAGGATGTGAGTCCATAGCAGGTAGAGGAAATGTTAGGTATGCTGCCTGTGTTCTTCCCCAGTGTGCTACTCTTTTTTTTCTTTTTTACCTTTTCTTATCATAGAAAAAAAATCCCCACAACATAAAGTTTGTCATTTTAACCATTTTTTTAAGTGTTCAGTAGTGTTAAATATATTCATGTTATTGTAAAACAGATCTCCAGAACTTTTTCGTCTTGCAAATCTGAACCTCTGTCCCCATTAAACACCACCTCTCCATCCCCCCTCCCCTCAGCCCCTGGCAACCATCATTCTTCTTTCTGTCTCTCTAAACTTGACAACTTTAGATACTTCATGTAAATGGAATCTTAGAGAATATGTCTTTTTGTGACTGGCTTCTTTCGCTTAACATAATATTCTCAAGGTTCATCATGTTGTATCACGTATCAGAATTTTCTTCCTTTTAAAGACTGAAAAATATTCCATTGTGTGTATAGACCACACTTTGTTCATCGATTCGTCTGTTAATGGACACTTGGGTTGCTTCCACGTTTTAGCCCTTGCAAATAGTACTGCAATGAATATAGATATGCAATTATCTCTTAAAGACCCTGCTTTCAATTCTTGATATATACCCAGAAGTGGAACTGTTGGGTCATATGATAATTCTAGTTCTAATTTTTTTTTTCTTTCTTTTTTTTTTTTTTTTTACTTTTTGACTGCACCAAGTGGCATGTGGGATCCTCGTTCCCTGACCAGGGACTGAACCCACACCCCCTGCAGTGGGAGCGCAGAGTCTTTGACCACCAGGGAAGTCCCTAGTTTTAATTTTTTGAGGAACTTTCATACTATTTTCCATAACAATTGAACCATTTTACAATCCCAAAAGCAATGCACAGGGTTCCAATTTCTCTACATCCTCACCAACAATTGTTACTTTCTGTTTTTTCAGAGTATCCATCTTGATGGATGTGAGGTGGTATCTCATTGTGGACTTGATTGCATTTCCTGAGGGATTAGTGATGTTGAGCATCTTTTCATGTGCATGTTTGCCATTTGTGTATCATCTTAGGAGAAATGTCTATCCAAAGTCCTTTGCCTAGTTTTTAATCAGGTTATTGGATTTTTTGTTGTTGTTCAGTTGTAGAAGTTCTTTATATATTCTGGATATTAAGCCCTTATGAAATGTATGATTTGCAAGTATTTTCTCCCATTTCATGGGTTGCCTTTCCACTCTGTTGATGGTGTCCTTTGATGCACAGAAGTTTCTAAATTTTATATAGTTCCATTTCTCTATTTTTACTTTTGTTGTCTTTGCTTTTGGTGTCCTATTGTATGTGTGAGTGTATGTTTTTACTGAAATATAATTCACATATCATAAATTCACACTTTAAGATATACAATTCAGTGTGGTTTTTAGTCTATTCACAAGGTTGTGCAATCATCATCACTGTCTAGTTTCAGAATTTTTGATCACCCCAGATGGAAGCCCTGTACCCATTAAGCTGTCATTTCCCATTTCTCTTCCAAGCATCTGGAAACCACTAATCTACTTTTTGTTCCTTTGAATTGGCCTATTCTGGACATTTCATGTAAATGGGATCATACAGTATGTGGCCTTTCATCTGGCTTTTTTCACTGAGCATAATGTTTTCAAGGTTCATCCATGTTTTGGCATGTACTTCATTACTTATTACTGCTGAATAATATTTCATTGTATGGATAGAGTACATTTTTCTTATCCTTCGTAAGTTGATGGGCATT